CGAGCAGTATATTTTCTTTTGGTGCATACGGCTTTCTGATAGATACTTTCACTGGTAGCATTTTCTTCAAAATCTGAAAAGAAAAAATTCATGTACTGTATATTCATACTTAACTGTGAAGTTTGTATAAGATATAGTAAAATATACAGGATCGGAACACGAGTTTCTCGTGATCGAAATGACAATATAGAAAAGACTTTAAAAATAGTTATAAAACATTAAATAACAGTTAATTATTTTGAAATCGATTTAAAAAATTTAAGAATTCCAATGAAATAATAATAATAGCATTTAATTCGGCTTAAAATTATAATTTCAATAGTATCTTTTATTATATTTCAACTTTACCAGTATCTGAATCGAATCGCAAAAGAAGATTTGAATTACATATTCTGTTTTGGCCGAAATTTTAATTAAACATTATGAACAAACCTAACGTATTTATTATTGTTTTTTTCTTTTTTAAAAATATATATATGTATAAAAATAATATATGTTTTCAACACAAAGGCCCGAGAATATATGAAAATAGGTAACTAAGCTGAAAAGAAAATATAATTTCCCATCCCTAATCTAAATATTTCGATAAAAATTAGCGCAGCGTAACAATCTAAATCGCAATGTATCTGGACTGTTAATCGTGACGTGCGAAAATGGCTTTTAATAAGAATTTCATTCGAATACTGCGGTACGATATCGTGAAGTAACTAACGATTTTTGCACGCTTTTTTCGTTGTTGGGAATCTGTCATCGCTAATGACATAAATAAATCACCATTTCCTCGTTTTCTTATAAACATCGAACTTAATAGCTTTTCTTCTAATAATATTGAACCAACGCGTGTAAATACAGCAGAAAGAGAATCATTGTTTATATCAGCCATTTTGAGATAGCTCTTTCTCCAGCAAATGTGTTTTCAACCGTCAGCAACAAAAGCGTCACTTCCGGTAGCAACTGCTCAGCGCACTGCTGAATAAAAGAATGCGCAAATCGATTAACTATATACAGTACTAACTTCCGGTTTAGGCCAAAAGTCACGTGATTTCGATTCAAAAATTTTCTCCAGAACGGAGTTAGATAGATGACTAGTATGATTCTATTGTTAACAGGAAAAATGTGATGTACTGTAAAGAGGCAAGACTACTAAAATCGAGAGCATATACACTTCTCAAAAGTGAAATTGCAATATAACGAAGGAATGCGCATAGCCACATGCAAATTGCAGGACCTGTACAGATGACAGAGAGATGAAAATGATTAAGTTTTCATATGCATCGGTTCATGTGTTACCCAGTTTCGGACTATAAAGACCAGCAGCCTGCTCAGGTAGAAAATGCTATCAGCGACAGTTCTCGGCAGCCGAACTTTTGAAAAAGCGTAGAAAAGGGAGACGACAGCAAACTGAATACCACTAGTTAACGGCTAGGGAACGAAACCATATCTTGGAGCTGTGCGAGCTCGATTTGTTGTTGCGCGCAGTTGCCACGTGAGTTGGGCAAGATGTGGGAACCATCCAGTGATGTGTGACGCAATGGACGCAAGAACATCTGCGAACACGCAGAAGAAGGATTGCACCGGCGCACGCCGGAGCACAAAGACTGTCAGATTATTCTGTTGCATATCTTTGTTCTTTTAATCATTTGCATATGTCTGTCACCTCTATGGGTCTTGCAATGTGCATAAGGCTACGCGCATTCCTTCGTGGTGTTGCAATTTAACTTTTGAGAAGTGTATATTCTGTTAATCATGCACTTCAGCAAACCAGAAAAGCCACATTATTTATCTCTCGCTTCGAAGATTTAAATCGACGATTCAAATGCAGCACATTTTAATTTAATTAAAAGTTTTTCATAATCTGCATATATTTTGAAAATTGTTATATATTTATACTAGCTGTTACCCGCGACTTCTCACGCGCGGATTTTTCAAGCAAATCCCATTTATATTTAGTATTTCAACAACCATAGTAATTGTTATATAACACCTACCGCTGAGAATGATGATAATTGTTGAGAATCAAACGAACTATTTTCAATTTGATCAATTTTCTGGAACGTTTACAATCGTTCTATGATCGAACTAATATGCAATAACAAACTCGAATTTAAAGCGGTTCGAACATTTGGTTATAAAATCGAAATACAGTAGAGCGTCGATTTTCCGAAAGTCAATCATCCGAAACGTCAATCATCCGAAAGAATTCCAGTGGGCAAATTAAAATTTTCGCCAGTGCTGTGGCGCTTCAATCTTTGTCTATGTCTTGGGCTACTCAAATATTTTACGTTTTTGATACTAAATTAACATCTGAAGTATAATTTTTTATTGTTTTTATATTTTTCAATATATTTATTTTGTTCGTACAAAATAAAAAAAATAATTTTTAACGATACAATAGTCTTTGTTTGGCTTAACATCGACGAAAATTCAACGCGAAGCGACACGCAACGGATAAAAATTTTAACATCGGATACGTTAAATTATTTTTTGTACATAAATCGGTTATCCGAAATATCAGTTATACGAACAACCCCAGTCCCCAATTGATTCGGAAAATCGACGCTCTACTGTATATCAAAATATTTATAACAATGTCTGAAATGTTATCAATTTAATACACCTAAGTACTCAATGAAGACTAAACGTAGTTGAAAACAAAAAATCGCATCTAAAATAGTATAGTAGAAGCCATTCTTCAGGTTAAGACTTAATCTTTTCCCTCTCCCCCCGCGGGGGGAATTTCCAAAAATTCCTTTTTAGTGTGCGTTTTCATGATGTACCCTAACTATGTACAAAATTTCACCTCTCTAGGTTCAGCGGTTTGCTCTGAGCGATGATGAATCAATCACTCAGTCAGTCAGGACAAGTAATTATATATATTTAGATTACACCGTACTTTTCTGATTTATTTCGTATTCATAATTCTTTGAGATAAAAAATAATTCGTATTTCGGACGATAATAATAGAAGCGCATCCGATTCCACAACAAAAGTGGCTTTATTTTACCCTTTAAAATTTATTTTTTTAAAATTTTGATGCGGAAAAATACATTTTTTTAAAAAAACTCATTCCGCCCTGTGGGCACTAAGAGGGCCTCTTTTTGCAAGCCCATTATGGGTTCGGCCAGACCCACAATGGGCAGCCGGGTGGTATGTGGCGGGACCCGACTTATCAGGACGGATCGCCTCCGAAAAAATTTGTGGGGATTTTTGACCCGTCCGGATTCGATTCCTGGTCCCCCAAAGCGGTAGTCTATCACCTTGGCCGCTCGGCCATTTGGCCGTCCGGAAGGATACACTAGAAAGAATGTGTGATAGAAGTCGTGTGATCACTTTTAAGATTTACACTTTAACATTTTGACCAGTAATCACACTTACTGGAAGCTACTGATGCATGAAAATCTATATATCATACATTAAATACAATATAAAAAGAATATAATACATAGAAAAATTACAAGCATCATAATCTATGAAAACACTTTATTGTCATTTCAAGTTAAACATAGATGTATTTGCATTGTCTAAGAACCGTGGTTCCACTGTTTTTTTTTTATTCGAAAAATAAATTCACTAACAAAAAAAATTAATGAATTCGATAAAACACTGTACATCGATAATGTTGTGATACTATCGTAACAGTGTCGGTTAGCTAATTTATTTGATAGCTTGTTATCGATAGAGGAAACAATAGTCGATTGTTCGCTATCGATATAAACAAACGTACTGTACATCTCTAGTACATAATATACCAATTGTGAGACTTGTATTAGTAGTAGGTGTTAGATGGAAGCAAAAAAGAGAAGTAACAAACCCAAAAGAGAGATAGGAGGCGATCGCCCCCTCGATATTTTTATCACTAAGGGAAGCTTCATTACTTCTTAAACTACGTCAATATTTTATCAGTTTTCTACTTTGTTTCATAAAAACTTTGTGTACTTTATTTTAAATAATTATTAAAGACAAAAATATTTCATATATTTTTAATCTTTAATTGTTTGATACACTAAAAACCTCTCTCAGATTTGCTTTCAGATCAAGCATCGGAAAACAGAAACACGGAATTTGGACCCGACATTATCACTGCAGTCAGACGATAAGAGAACAATAAGACTTAGTCGAGGTGGAGTCGCGCTCTTTTCTCTCCCTACTGCCTATAGGCGTTTTCAGCCGGATTTTCGATGTCGGAAGCCGCAGCTTGTACTTTTAATACGGACTATTTTCCGGAAGTTTTCGAAACGCCTTTAGGTCCAGAAACTGATTGTTGGATCCGAGAATGATCCTCTTCTGCCCACACCCAGAACGTGTCACAGAAACCCGAAGGTCTGCCAGGTGAGTCCTTCGCTGGTGAATATGCGGGTCGCGGGGAAGTGCACTAGACGAAGTCGTGTAGAAGGAAAGCGACGGTCTCGGAGAGGCGAATTTTTTTTTATACAAACAGGATAAGCAAAGCACTGTCTGTGGCGCTGTGATTGGTGAAACTTATCACGATCGAACTGCTATTAAAAAGGGCTAAAACTTTTTTAATTCCTTAAATAGACAAGCAATTATACTTCTTTATTCATAATCACAGTATATTTTTTCAAATACAGTACATTATTTTTTGTTTGTAAGAAATCCAATATCACTGGAACGTTAATGATTTTTTAAATATGAGTTTTATGGTAAATTATATTTAAAAAAAACATATTTAAATAAGAATGTTTTAATTGATAAATATTTATAAAATTTCAAAGATCTAAATTATAATTTATGCAATAAAATTATTCATAAAAAGCTTTTTACTTAATCAAAATTGGCAACACTATTGTACATCGTGATAGACCGACTACTAGCAGACGACGTTAAAAGACGAAGGAGTCGCCACCTATATTTTTCTTAGGTCGAGAATTTTTATATATCGTTATAACAATAATTAATCCCTAATTATAATATTATTTATATTGTATAATTTTAAATCATCTCTCACATCTCAAAATAAATCCATATATAATTCTTGGAATTTCTCCCCGGATGTATCGAAACCTATCTGACGTCACTGTCGCAGAACTGTCCGATCGATGAATACAGTTTTCAATTTGTGATCCGTACAATCCGCACTACAAGACAATTAAATATGGGATCTTTATTTAGAAGCGAAGAAATGACTTTATGTCAACTCTTTCTTCAATCTGAAGCTGCTTATGCTTGTGTTTCGGAATTAGGAGAATTGGGAATGGTGCAGTTTCGAGATGTAAGTTTTTAATCGATTTTTTTCATATGTCCTTATTTTAGTGACCCGATTCACAGTATTTGTAACGTAACTAATGAAACAAACTAAAAAGCGACTTTGTGTTGCTTTTTGGTTTGTTGGGAGCAACAAAAAGTAACACAAAGTTGCTCTTTATTTTGTTGGGTTTATTAATAATGGATCAAAGATCCAGTATTAATTAATCAACAAACCAAATCCAAACAAACCATGGATCCAACAAGCCAAATCCAAAGATCCAGTATTAATAAATCCAGTAGCATCAAAGCATTATAATCATCACAATCACAATACAATTGTGACTACGTTAAAAACACAGGTACAAAAATGAGACGTATAAAATACTTCAAAGAGAACAAAAAAATACCATTAAATAGGACATCTTTTCATTATTTCAAATATAATATAAAAATGCTATCTGGAATTTATGATACAAAATCAAAATTGCTAACGTTCTTATTAAAAAAAAAATCAAACTTTGAATGCCGTTACTTCATAAAATGGGTCATATTTCTTTTTTGTTCATTTACTTCACTTCATTTCATAAATTTCTAAATTTGAAATTGTTGCTTGACTTTAATGACGAAGGAAATTGTTATTGAAAAGTTCACGAAATATCCGCAAATAGTCTACGGATGTCTATTGATATTTTCTAATCGATATTTGTATATTTTGTTACCGGCCTGAAATAAAAATTGTGTATGCAGACTTCACAACTACTTGATCTAGTTTTTATTTTTAATTCTTAAGAAATACATTAGGGCTTAATTTTTGCATTTTATTAGTGTGTATTATCTCTTATCTCTTATAAATTTAAAAGAGTAACAATGTATAATATGTAAATATTTTCATTAGATGCAAAAATGAAGGTATTATTTATTTGAAAAATTGTATTAACACGAATAAAAATTTTTCTTTCTTATATTTTTAAAATTTTGTATATAACTTTCTATTATTTTTTGAAATTCATTATAAAGTTTTATATATTATTATTTCTTATAAGTTTAGGAACAAATAGTAATTTTATATTTAAAAACATTCAATGGGAATTTATTAATTAGAACATTTTTGACCATTTAAATTTAATGATGGTTTAGTTAACTTAGACTGATCAAATCTGAATGCATGTTTGTAAGATTTAAAAATAATTATTGTCAGCATTAGTAATATGTTTTCTAAGTAGTTTTTTTCTTTCTCAATTTCTTACATTGTAGGAAGACCAGGAGGAAAAATTGTTTTAATAAATGAGAAGCTGTCTATTAATCTATGAAACTGGAAATATCAAATTGCCATTGTCATTTTTAAAAAATTTGTGTTGTTTTGTAATTTTTTAAAATAAGTTATGTAATTAAATAGTTTGTTTTTTTCTTTTTTAAATACAAGGTATAAAGCCAAATGAACTGCTGAATTATCAGGTTATAGTATAGTCATATCATAGGTTAGTTATTCAGCAGTTTGTTTGGCTTTAGGTATAAATTGAGTTTCTGAGTTGATGTTCATCAATACAAGGTTTATTTTGGAAAATAAATAAATAAATAAACTTGAACAAATATCAAAACATCAGAAAATTTTAATGGTTTGGTAAAGTTCTCTTATTCAGCAGTTTGTTTGGCTTTAGGTATAAATTGAGTTTCTGAGTTGATGTTCATCAATACAAGGTTTATTTTGGAAAATAAATAAATAAATAAACTTGAACAAATATCAAAACATCAGAAAATTTTAATGGTTTGGTAAAGTTCTCTTAATATAAAAATTAATAATTTTATTTTAAAAGTGATTTTTCAAGTTTTTGGAAATATTTTTTAGATACCAGTTATTTAGAACAACATATTTTAAAATTGCATCATAAATCATATAAATTGCAACAGAATATAACATGTAATCAGTGCCGTAACTAACCATTCCTGTGCCCTGTGCAATAATTTGCATTTAGGCCTCTTAATTAGATTTGGAAAAATAATAAAACAAATACATGCATTTTGGGCCCCTCTTCAAAGTGGGCCCTGTGCAGGTGCACCTGTTCCACCAGCCTAGTTACGGCACTGCATATAATAAACTTGATATTTTCATTTATATATACAATTTAATGCGAAATCAACTTTTACAATTTGCATTCTAATTACAAATTATATTAAATATATTAATGGTGTAGGAATCATAATAATCCAAAACAATTTCAAAAAATAACTATTGTTTTGTATTAAATATAAATTCACATGATATCTGATTGAAACTGTTTGAAATTACGATACTTATGGGTTATCCTTCTGCATGATGTGTTACATGTTGCTTTCCAATCTCATGCATCTACTATGCTCTGTCATAATGTCACAAAATGATTAGATGAGTTTGAATAGGTGATTAAATGAAATAATTAAATTCTGTACAAATCAGATAGTAAATTTAATTGTTTCAATAACATTAAAAAATACTGTATTTTTTTGTTTATAAGGTAAAAATACCTACTTTTTAAGAAGTCGCACACTAATAATAATTTAATATTATACACTAATACGCAAATTAGTCTTTGATTTGCAAATTTGTTTTGATGAGACATTATGTGGAAAGTGGATTAATCATTCAGTATTTGGAATTTGAATACATCTGAAACTGATAATGATTGTATACTACAGGAATATGATACATTACATTCTGAAAGTTTTCACATAAAAGATATTAAAAGTGAAATTTCATTCTGATTGAAAAAATCTAAAATGGAAGTGTAACATAACGTGTACATATGATGTTGGTATATGGACAAATATATGGAAATGGTATATTGGTATATTCTTGTATATTGCTGAATTTGTATGGAGATAATTTTATATGAAAAATTAATTTTGTGAATTACTGAAAATAATTGTATAAAAAGTGACCTATTAAACTAATACTAAGAGAAATAATATAAATTGAATTTATTATATTTTAATATCATACAAGTATTAAGAATTAAGAGATAGACCGACTACTAGCAGACGACGTTAAAAGACGAAGGAGTCGCCACCTATATTTTTCTTAGGTCGAGAATTTTTATATATCGTTATAACAATAATTAATCCCTAATTATAATATTATTTATATTGTATAATTTTAAATCATCTCTCACATCTCAAAANTTGCTGAATTTGTATGGAGATAATTTTATATGAAAAATTAATTTTGTGAATTACTGAAAATAATTGTATAAAAAGTGACCTATTAAACTAATACTTAGAGAAGTAATATAAATTGAATTTATTATATTTTAATATCATACAAGTATTAAGAATTAAGAGTTTGTATGTTATAGTAATAAGTATAATATTTTTCCCTAATTTTAATATTTTAGTAAATAAAGTATTTTAATGATTGATTAATATAAAAGAGTAACTTTTGGAATTGACAAAATTAAATTTCTACTTTTGGACTGCACACTATTTCAACTGCAATATGATATGATAGTCAGAGAATAACTCACAAGTACTGAAATGATTATAATATTAATTCCATTTTAAACATCCTAAAATGAACTTATTCATAGAATAAATGGATATAATTTTTTCTTCTAAAAAAATTATGTGAAATAGGAATATATCTAGTTTTGGAAGTAGATAATTTATATGGTTAATTTTTTTCTAAAAATAAACTTTGATTTATTTTTCACAGTTTATGGATAATTCTTTCATCAAAGATAAATGTTCATTAAATTTCATATTTCATGAAATAAAATATTTTAAATATGATAATTTATTTAAAAAATAAAATCAAATTTTTTGACAAAATTGATATGTTTATATTGCATATTAATAAAATTTTCAGTTATATATTTTTGCTAAATTTAGCAAATAAATTTTTGAAGTTTGATTAAATGCAGAAACTGAAAATATTGTTAAAGTTCTTCACTGGTCTTATATTAAGATTTTTGGTTTGAATGTGTGACTATAGTTTACTTATTTATCTAGTCCAATTGTTTTTTAATCCTTTCTTTATAATTAACAAAGATAAGGGCTTTCCTACTATAAATATAATGTTTTGGAAATTTTGAAACAGCTACTCATATACCATTCATATAACATGTTTTCTAGTCATGCAATAATGCACATGATTGATTACATTATATATAGATGATATTTACAACATAATTGCAATGGTCTATCTATTTATTGTTTTTTCATAAAAACACCATTTGGATTAAAAAAATATGTTTACTAAAATAAAGATTTAAATTCATAAAATAAATATTCATTCAGAATAAATTAGAATGCTTAATTCATTCATTTGTTTGTATAATAAATGAAATGATTATTGTGCCTGTTGTATCTACTTTTGCACCCCTCTGTATATAAATTTAAAATAATATGTTCAACTTCTTTCAGTTTAATATTTTTGGAATCTCAATATTCCATTTTAAATCTCATTATGGGTTAGGTTATAATATTAATTAATCCAGAAATACATCATAAATTTAGAACAATAAAAATATTTTTCAAATCCCAATGTGAATATCCAATTTCTTCTGACTGACAAGGACTAAGCAGACGAGAATATCATCCAATTTAATTTAATACCATTCTTAAAGTAAATGCATTTCAGGCTTTAGTCATTCTTCAGTACCTGCTACAATGATACAATAAACTGAATAAATAATTACATAAACAAACATCCAAACTTCTACATACCTTTACATAACATAATTAGTAAACTTTTCATAATGAGCAATTATTTAGTCACATCGTCACAATGCCGGGCTGCAATTTTTAATATCTTAAATTTATTTAGCTTAAAATATATGGTCTCCACCTCAAAGTAGTACTGTAGTGTCTTGCCCCTGTACATCATACTTTTCCTATAACAATAGCGTTCTGCCAGTCTCTAACTCCTTTCAGGAGAAAAATTTTGAATTGAAATAGCGTGACTTTCAGTTATCATCAGAAGTTCATATATAGTTAATTGGGGCCTCCTCCCCTAAGGTTTCCATATCTGGTCTTGAATTTCATCTATCTAAC